ACTTCACTCAGTGCTGTTTCATTCCAATTTCATTCCACTTGAGTTATAAAATAGTCTCAAGTGTTTTCCTGTGTATTGTTGTTTCGCAAAAGTCTGTTTAACAACCTGTTAAAATACTCCAGAATGAAGGAAATGGCATTTACTTATTTCTTAATTTTATGGGGTAGGACCCCCAGACCCCCCGCCAGTGGGTCCCCCCAACATTAAAATACTTCTGATGCCACTGAAATATGTAAGAATGTAAGGACATTTTATGGTACTCCATGTGTAAAGATACAGAGCAAGTTAAAAAGTGACTGCTGCAGAAGTGCAGATGGTTTGGATTCTTGTTTTTTGTCTCTGAATGTCACAAAATCAGTAATAATATCTGTAAAAATTACAAATTAAACATCTGTTGGCAGATCCATAGCTTTATATTGACATAGTTTTTAAATCGTCGATTTTACAAACACATCATAACATTTCTGTTGAATATTAGTTTTCGTGACCCCCCCGAAAATCATTCTGCAGGCACCACTGCATGAGCTATCCCGGAGAGGAGCRAGGCCTTTAACGAGAAGAAACCTGCAGCAGAACCAGGATGGGTGCTCGTCTGACTCGCCCTAACTCAGAGTTGAGTAACCAGAAGTATCATCAGGTCAGTGTTWATTAAAGCAGAGTTGATCAGAGTATTTATATGTGAAGAAGAAAGAGGGCAGAGAGATTCAGAGCATCATGAGATGTTCTGCAGCTGCCTGAGGCCTGCAACATATCTACAGTGATAACACAGGGTCACCTGAGCTTTATCAGAAACCTTTTAATCTTAAAGGTAAAGAGGATATCTGTCCTGTGGAGTCTGACAGGACAAGATAACTGAAGACCTCCCAGTTTACTGTCAGACATCGTTAAGAACCACGTGCCTGATCTCTAAGAGCAGAAAGGTCTGAGGAGACAATCCATAATATGAGGTTAACCCTTCAGAGAGTTCTCAAAAGGCAGCTTTTTTTCCTGTTTCAGCTTCTCTTTTCTCAGATGCTCCTTCCTGACTCACCTGGCCTCGAACCTGCAGCCTCTCAGTTTATATGAGATGTAAAAAAGGTGATGAAATGTGTGATTTGAAGTTTGTAGAAGATAAAGATGAGTGTGTTGTAGAAAAGTCACTTTTTCCCTGCAGATTTGAACATTCACTGAACAAAAAAACATTAGTAAAAATTAGAGCCTGAAGAATGGTGCCAGGATTGTTTTTAATAAAGTGTATTGATYAGAGGTGCCATCAAGTGAGAGCAGCCACATTATTCAGGGGTGAGGACAATGTGGTAAAGCTGAATGTCATGTTTAAATTTAGGTGAGCACATCAGTGAAACTCTGTTTAACATTATATTTTTTGGTTTGATAGAAATGCTGGTCTATAAATATCAAATCAGTAACATCTGCAATGAACGAGGTTTCTAATTCGCTGAAGTAAACCAGTGAAAAACTAGTATTTATCTGCAATTCAACGTGGAAATGTAGACCTGATAAATTGTTTACATTGACAGCCTGCCTCTTCCAATATGGTGCTGTGCTCGTACCACAGTGGTCAATCTAAAACATGCATGATGCTTCTTGTCAGTATTCCTCGTTAGTTGTTTTTACAGTTTTTTATACAGGAAATGACTTGAAACATTCAAATGATCAAGAACAGAGAATGTTTCTTCATAAGCAGAACTTATTAATGTTAGCTAAAAGGAGCCTGTGAACCAATACACCCTAAACTGTAATAATCAGTTTTCCCTTAGCAAAAAGTCTCAGAAGTATACTTGTTAGTAAACTGCTAGTATACTTTTATCAGTGTACATGGTAAATAAAAGTACACTTTGGGAAATACACTTTTATATACTGTAATATGTTTAATGACATGTATAACCTACTTATTAAAATGAACTTCAAGTATTCTGCTTTTTGCTAAGGGTTGACTCGTGTATTTACATCATTTTTCTTCTGAACCATTTATTTTTTTGCAGTCAGTTGTATATGTTGTTTATTTAACAATAAAAATTAATAAATTTATTCCTGTCTGGAGCTGTCCTCCCTCCACATTTGTATTTATCTTTAAATCCTCCAAAAACACAAAAGCAGGAAGCGAAGCATGTTCATGATGCGCAAAAGCGTCGTTTCCCCCCAGCTGAGTGAAGCCGACCCCTCCCAAAACATGAACCACAGAAAAAAAAGGCAAATAGGCTGAGTTGTTAGTGCTTCGTTTGTGCGGGTTTGTGCACTTGAAGTTGTCGTTTGTGCTGCTATGGTTTTTT